ATAATTTATTGTATAACTATATCCGTGCTTTATAACTACAACGAGTTGGTTAATAAGTTGTGCAAGTAAGTAAAAAAGCAACCATACACGTGTTGAAGTTCAACTGGTAAACTTGTTAGAGAAGTTGTGCCAAAAAGAAAAAACCCCAAAAAAGGTGAAGAATGTCAGAGAAGTCTTTGAGCTTTTTTGTGCGTGTCCGACAATTTCATAGCAGCCCTACGTGTCCTTTTTTGTCCTAACATGGCGTGATGGTTCCCCTTAAATCGTAACATTTCATCGAGACTTAAAAATATGTGGTTAAGGTTGATGACAAAAGAACACTCTTTGAAAAAGTTGGCCGAGCATCGTAAGATTACAATTGCTTTAATAAAAATAATTTAATTCATGTGACATCTACCTTTCTTTTTAATTTTATATTATTTTAATTTTTACTTAAAGTTAAAAAGAATCATTTATATACATTTAAATTTTTGGGTTTAATAACACCAAATCATATTTAAAATACATTTTTTTATATAACAATTTAAATCTGATTCATTACATATTTATTTTTTAAAAAGATTTATATAACATCCATTTGAAATTTTGAATTTTGTGATTCGTAAATATATATCTTTTTATAAGGTGTATTTTTTAATTCTAAAATTGGGATTTGGGATGAATTGAAGTGGAATAGGATAGGAATTCATATATCAATTCAATCCAAGACCAAACAACAAAGCTACTAACCTCTATATAAAGATCCATAGAAATCCCTTTGATCTGCTTTCAAATATCACTAACTTAATTTCCATGGATTCAGCTATGAAATCGGTCATGGAATTCCTCCAAAACCCGCCTCCGCCTTCCGCCATGTTCAACGCTTACGCTTCCTTATCCGGGTCACTCATGATTCTCCGATCAACACCCAACCCCATTCCCCCACCCATCCGAAGCTTCCTCTGGTCCAAAATAAAACAATACTTCATCCGCTACCGCGGCCGATCCATTACCGTCATCACCATCGAAGAGTCCTGGGGTGCCGAGCGCAACCTCCTCTACTCCGCCGCCAGAGTTTACTTACCGACCAAGATTTCTCGGGCAGGCTTAAATCGTGTTAAAATGGGGAAAATAAGCTCCCAGAAGAACATCTCCGTCGCCTTACCTGAAGACGAAGAGATCGTCGACACCTTCAATGATGTCAAAGTTACTTGGCGTTCTGTCTGTGTACAAACTGATGGACAAACCAGAAACAGAACTTATAATAGTGACAACGGCTCGTTTTCTTATTCTTCAGAGAAGAGGTATTTGGAGTTATCTTTTGATTCCGAACACAGAGAACAAATCGCCTCTGCTTATTTACAACATGTCATGACCACAGCGGCGAAATTGGAGCAAGGAGATAAGGAGTTGAAGATTTTTAGTTGCAATAACAGTGATTCACTTTATGGGGGGAGGTCCAAAGGCAACTCCACTTATTTGCAACATCCTGCTTCCTTTGACACCATCGCCATGGACCCTGCCCTGAAACAGAGCATCATCGACGATTTGGATCGGTTCTTGGCAAGGAGAGACTATTACAAGAGGATTGGAAAGGCTTGGAAGAGAGGGTATTTGTTATATGGTCCTCCAGGAACAGGCAAATCAAGCCTGGTTGTGGCCATGGCTAAGTACCTCAAATATGATGTGTATGAATTGGAGCTTAGCAATATTTATAGCAATTCACAGCTGAGGAATATTTTCCTAAACATATCTAACAAATCTATCATCGTGATTGAAGATGTCGACTGTTATGAAGAGGTCCACGCCCGATCCCACACAATAGTAGATGCCAACCTTCCTCAACTGGCTGCCAACCTTCCTCAATTGGGTGCCCAAAAAAATAAGGTCAGTATCTTTTGCGTAATGAAATTTTTAACAAAATAGTTCAAACTAACAAACAACTACTTTGAATGTCACATTCAAGAGGTTGTGATTGTTTATACTTTCAGTCGAAACTGAAAATATATAGCTTTAATTAACACATTAGTATTTTTCTTTTTGAACGGGGAACTGATTTTTTTTTTTTTTGTAATAATTTCAGCGTGAATCATCTACACTTTCGGGTCTACTGAATGCCATAGACGGGCTGTGGTCTGGCTGCGGGGAGGAGAGGATCATCATATTCACCACTAACCACAAGGACAAGATTGATCCTGCTTTGCTTCGTCCTGGCCGGATGGATATGCATATTGAGTTGTCCTACCTACAGCCGTCGGCTTTTTCGGTGCTGGCCTACAACTACCTCGGTCTCCGTGACGGCCAGCACCCTCTTCTTGAAGAAATCCAGAACTTGTTGGAGTACACAGAGGTGACTCCTGCTTCTGTTGCGGAAGAATTGTTGAGGAGCGACGATGTCAGTGTCGCCCTTGGAGGAGTTGTTGAATTACTTAAGCGGAAGAGGACGGCGGAGGTCAACGACGGTGAAGACGAAGGTGCAGCAAAGAGGCGAAAATTATCTGACTCTTGAAATATTTCTCTGATTTTGGGTTCTGTATGGTCATTTGATGCTTTTGGGGATTGTTAATTTTGGGCTCTGGGCGCTTTAGGGTTATTTGACATAATAATTTGGCATTAGTGTTTAAGGGATTTATTTAATTTAATAATAGTAAAAAATAAATTATTAACAGTTAAATTAAATAAACTTATTAACAGTAATTTTAAATGACAAAACCTTACCTTAAGCATTTAAATTTATCTTAAATTTTTTATTAAGTCTTCAAATTTTTATAGAAACAAATAAGCTCATTATTTGTTCATTTGAACAATTTAATTGTCTTTATCATGGCAAAATTAGTGCATATTTGTGCCTTGTTAAATAAGATTAATATCTATTACGTAAGTAATTACATATTAATATTTTATTTATGCAAATGATACATAAATAAATATTAAATTTACTATAAAAATGAGTTTAATTACTTAAATTAAAAAAATTTAGAAACTTAATAAAAAATTTATCACTCATTCAGCGAAAAAAAAAGAAAACCATGTGTAGAATTTTGTACGGATTGGATAAGACGAGTGTTTCAACATTTCAAGTCCTCAATAGATTAGCGTTTTTATGTACCAAAAAAAAAAAAGATTAGCTCAGCTAAAAAAAAAAGGTTAAATGTTAAATTTGGTCTCTCAATTTTATTGAGTTGCATTTTTTGGTCCATTAATAATTTTTTACACTTTTTTGATCCATCAACTTTAAAAAATGCACAACGTTAATCCTTCCGTCTATTTGAGCATTAACTTCACCAATGTGGTATTTTTTATATTTTTTTTATGATATGAATAATCCAACTGGAAAAGAATGATGACAGGGATCGTCTAACTTAAAAAAATGATGACATGGAGATAAATTTTTATATTTTTAATAAAAAAATAAAAAAACCTCTCCACCTATTTTCTTCCCCCTCTTTCTTTCTCTTTCTTCCTCCTCCTCTTGCTGCCTCCTCTGCTGACCAAACCTTGCCAAGCTAAGATCCTCCCCCCTTTTTCTCTTTTTCCTCCTTTTGTTTTCTCTATCTTCCTCCTCCTACTGTGACCCATCGAACCAACTTCACCCTCTTTCTTTCTTCCTCCTTTGGCTACTAGGTTCATTTGAATCGAAAACGATGGGTTTAAACGTTGGGTTCGTTTGAACCCAGCGATCTGGGTTCCGTTGAACCCAGCGATCTGGGTTCCGTTGAACCCAGATTTGGGTTCTACAAAACCTAGCAATCTAGGTTCCGTTTAAACCCAGATTCGGGTTCTGTGGAACCCAGCAACATGGGTTCAAGGAACTTGAATTTTTGGGTTTTCAAACCCATGTTTATAGATTTTTTTTGTTTAGTAACTCTAGCAATTATTATGCATATATTGAATCCTTTTGTTTGATGGATTTTTGTTTCAAATATTGTGGTTGTAGGATGGTAATTTAGTATTATGAATGTTGCAAAATTTTGTTTGTATGTTTTGGTTTGGCTATTTCTCTTGTAAGTATATGATTATTAAGCTGGATTGAAGTAGTATGAGTTTTCAAGGTTTTGATTTTGTTTTGAGAAAGCAAGAGGGGAAGAAGAGAAAGAGGGGGGAGAAGGTTTGGTGGATCCTAGCTTTGTTGGGTTCAGTCAGCAAAGGAGGCAGCAACAGGAGGAGGAAGAAAGAGAAAGAGAAAGGAGGAAGAAGATAGGTCGAAGAGGTTTTCTTATTTTTTTTTATTAAAAATATAAAAATTCATCTCCATGTTATCATATTTTTCCAATTGGATTATCAATATCATCAAAAAATAAAAATAAAAAATGCCACATAGGCGAAGTTAACGGCTCAAATTGATGGGAGGATTAACGTTGTGCATTTCTTAGAGTTGAGGATCAAAAAAGTGTAAAAAATTGTTAAAGGACCAAAAAAATGTAACTCAATAAAGCTGAAGGACCAAATTTAGCATTTAACAAAAAAAAAAAAATAGATTAGCCTTTTTCCACTTAATTGTGCACTTTCACTATTGTTCACTATTGAGAACAGGATCTCAAAATTGTTGAACTTTGTTTAGTTATGATTCAAGGTGCTAATCATTTGCAATTGGCCAAAACCCCTATTTGCACCCTTCATTTAATTTTTTTTCGTGGTCAACACCTTCCAAAGTTTTTTCTCTCTATTCATACTCTAAACTTTTCAAAATCTGTGAAAAATCCAATATTTTAACGTACCGTTACAACACCGTTAAAAAATGCACTACGTGGCACTTAAAAATTGATGTGGCACTATGCGGCATTGGTAATCCAATGTGGATCCCTTTTTTTGATGATGTGACTTATTTTCTACACACGTGGATGCCACATGTACAGTGAGACTAACAAAAAATTATAATACATGATACCAAACAATAACATAAATATGTCACCTTATTAATCCAATGTGGACTTTTTTTTTTTAATGATGTGGTATTTCTTCATCTTTTTCTTTCCCCCTCATCCTCGACATCATCTTCACCATCTTCTTCTCAATGGGTTCTACGAAACCCAGATTCTGGGCTCCTCGCGAGGAACCCAATTTTTGGGTTCCGACCATTTTTTTTTTATTTTGAATGCATTTATCTCAGTTTTCTATTTTATGCAAAGCAATTTGGAATAATTTTTTTTGTTGGAAAGGTGAGTTTTTTTGCTTGGAGATTGTTTATGAATAGGTTGCCAATTTGAGTTCAAGTGGGATTAACATGAATGGCAATAATGGTTTTTCATTTTTTGTGGCAAAGGGGAAGTATGGATATTGCAACTATTAATATTATTAAAATTATTAAAATTTTAATTTTTTAAAATTATGTTTAAAAATATTAATTTTTGACTGATTTAATTTATTAATTAATAAATCTTAATTATCTTATTAATTATTTGTATCAATTAAATTAAATCAATATTTTCAAAAGATAATGTTTTACAATTTTGATGGCTATGACATTATCATTATTAACCATAACTGTGCCCTTCAATTGAAACAATTATGGATGTGATCCTTCCATTAAGGAGCGTGATTATAGTTGCTTATTATTTTGTTAAGGTTATTAAATTATGTTTAATTTAATTATTAAAAATAATTAATAATTAATAATATATATAAATATTGTAATTAATAATTTTA